CAGACAAGGCTCAGAGAGGGCGGTGACGAGCCTGAGGTCACACAGCGCTGTGAAGGGGACACCCGGATAGCTGAGCAGACAAGGCTCAGAGAGGGTGGCGATGAGCCTGAGGTCACACAGCGCCGTGGAGCCGCGTCTGTCTGAGCGTGGGCCGTCACTTCCCGCCTCTCAAGGCGCTGGCGTTTGTGCCGCGCGGCCGCACCCTGTGTCCCTCCCTGTCCCCTGAGTGTGTCCCCGCCACCACGTGCAGCAGCAGGAGCCCCACTTTTGGGGTCTTCCTTCTAATCTGGGGTCCACCGCGCTCCCCTGCGACCTCGGGCTTGTGTTCAGCCTCCCCGAGCCTCAGTTTTCCCATCTGTGCGACGGGTTTGCTATGAACGTGCCACGCCCCACGTCAGCCGCGCGTCCCCAGACCAGGCCGAAATGGGGACGCCGAGGCCTCCGTGTCTTTGAGGTCGGAGGTGACACCCCCGTCTCCCCCCAGGGCCCCCGCTATCCCACAAGTCGGGCAGCCTCAGCGAGGCCAGCGACGCAGATGACGACCCCCCGGAGGCCCTGAAGGGAGGCCTCCCGGCTGCCCGCCTCTCGCCTGCCGTGCCCAGCGTGGACAGCGCCGTGGAGTCCTGGGACGGCTCGGCCGCGGAGGGTGGCTTTGGGGGCCCAGGTAGCACCGTGCACCCCCACGCCGCCCTCCCTCCCCCGCGCCCCTCCCCTCCTGGCCTCCCCTTGGGGACACTTCCGTTGGCCACCCGGGGCCCCTTGCTCCTCGGAGCACAGACCGCGGACTCGTGTTTTGGCGAAGACCCTCAGCCCCGCCGGGGTCCCCGCCGTGGGGTCCCGCCCCCCGCTCACGGGCCGGCTGCCCTCTCTGGGGCCCTGGGCCGGACGGCAGAGCTCGCAGGGGCCGGAGGCAGGGGAGGAGCAAAGACCTCTCCGGGGTCACCCGGCGCGGCCGGGGATGTGGCGGGAGGGAGGGCAGGGCGCGGACAGATGCCCCCTCTCCCCACCCGCCAGGTTCCTACACTCCGCAGGCGGCAGCCCGGGCCCTGACCCCCCAGGAGTGGCGGCTCGGCCGGCTAAGGAGCAGCCCCCCGCCCACCGAGCCCCGGAGGACGAGCTATACCCCGGCCCCCACCGACGAAAGCTTCCCGGAGGAGGAGGACGAGGAGGAGGAAGAGGAGGAGGATTGGGAGCCACCAACGAGGTCTGTGGTGGCAGCAGCGTGGAGGAGGAGGCAGAGTCGCTTGGCTGGGACGGGTGAGGGTGGCCGGTCTCCGTGCCAAAGCGCTGGGGGAGCGGAAGAGTCTCGCCCAGACGCCCCCTCCAATCTCTGTGCTTTGGATCAGGCGGTTCCTACTGCCCGGAATGCCCTTCCCTCGGTCTCTCCTGGCAAACTCCTACGCATCCCTCAAAACCCAGCCCAAATTACCCTGCTTCTGGGAAGCTTCCTCAGCTTTCTCAGGCAGAAGGAATTCCTCCCTCCCTCCCTGCTCTGGTACCCACAGCTGCTCCTGCGAGCCTCCTGGTGGCACTGGCCCCCTCGTGCCTACCCGGTTAGTCACTTGGCCGTCATCTCTTCTGTGCGGCAGCCCTCGCTCAGGGCCGCGGCCCTCAGCCGGCGCCCACACGTAGTTTGCGCGCGAATCTCCAGCGCCAGACACCTTCCTCCCCGCCACGTCCCTGTGCCCGGCAGAGCTTAGCGCGTGGGATGTTCGCAGCGTCCCCTTGAGGGAAGCGAATGTCCCCCGGCCTCGGTCTTCCCATCTGTACGATGGAAGGGAAGGAGGTAACTGGTGCTCGTGCCCGAGCCTCCCTCAGCGCGCAAAGCCCGCGCGCCTTCGTGCGAGAACGCGCTCTGCAAACCGTGGCGCGCCCGGTAAACGCCCGGGGCTCCGTAAGTGCCGGGTGGCTTCCTGACGACGCGACCCGCGACCGCTCTGAGACGCGGCGCCTGCCAGCCGGGGGCCCCCCTCCGTCCCTCCGTGTCCTGGCTGGCCCCGGCTCTGTCCCCGTCCCTGTCCCGCGGTGCCGTGTGTCTGGGTGGGGCCGGGGCTGTCCTCTGGGGCTGCACCATGGCTCTCCTGTCTGTCTGTCTGTCCGTCTGTCTGTCTGTCCGTCCGTCTGTCTCTCTTCTCAGGCGTCCTGTGTCACCGCGCTCTGCCCCGTCGTCTCGTCTACTCGTGTTCTAACTGGCCACCGACAGTCCCGGCCGCCCTTAGCCGCGTCTTGCCCTGTCCTTTGTCACCAACCACTGTCCCGGGGCCCCAGAACTACCACCGAGGACGCCCGCCCGCCTGCCCGCCCTGTGGTCCCTTGAGCGCAGCGCGGGGCCCGGGGGCTCCGAAGACTCCCCAGCCCGCCCGCCGCCCGCCAGCCGGGAGCTGACGCTCTGGTCCCTGCGTTGCAGCCCAGCCCCCGGCCCTGCCCGAGAGGAGGGCTTCTGGCGCGTGTTCGCGGAGGCTCTGGAAGACCTGGAGTCGTGCGGTCGGTCGGAGCTGCTGAGGGAACTGGAGGTACGGCCACCCCCCCTCCGAGGCCCGTGTGGGGGCACACGGGAGGCAGGCATGCTGATGGGCTCGTGCTCCCGTGTAACACACGTGCGCATGCATTTGCCCGGGCATGCTCCGTGTAACGGGGTCTGCACACATGTACGGACTGTGCGTGCATACGTGTGCGAGCGTGATTGAGAGCGCCGTGGTACGGCACCTTGGGTGTGTGCACGTGGAACTGTTGACATCACGTGGGCGCTGGGAGCATGCGTGTCTGCGTGCACGTGAGCACGCTCTACACGCAGAGTGTGTCTTCAGAGCCCGTGGGTCGGAGTGTTCACATTTGGATGCACGGGGCGGTTTTGGTGTGTGTGTGCGTGTGTGTGCGTGCGCGATGCATGCACGTGGTTGCGGTCACGCCCCGTGGAACTGTGAGGGCGTGGACATCCGTGAAGACGCAGGAGGGCCGTGGGAGGCCAGAGATGGAGGCAGCTCGGTGCGAGGTCGGCGTTGCCCACGGACGGAACGGGCTGCCGGGGGCATCCGGAGAGGGTCTAGCGAATTCTACGTCACCAGAGCTCCTGAGAGCAGTTTGATTTCACCTAAAACTCCTCTTTCTGCTTTTTCCCCTTTTCATTCCTAATATTGTTG